AGGAGTCATGGTACCCACTCAAGTTCAAAATGGATGGAGGGCGTGTATTGATTATCGAAAGTTGAATTCAAGCACACGAAAAGACCATTTTCCTCTTCCTTTCATCGACCAAATGCTCGAAAGATTGGCGGGAAAATCGCATTATTGTTGCCTCGATGGATACTCGGGTTTTCATCAAATACTTTTTCCCCCGAAGATCAAGACAATACGACTTTTACATGCCCTTTCGGCATGTTTTCCTACAAGCGGATGCCATTTGGATTATGCAATGCCCCCGCCACATTCCAACGATGCATGGTGAGCATCTTCTCCGAGTATGTTGAGAATATAATTGAAGTGTTAATGGATGACTTCACTGTGTATGGTAATTCGTTTGATGAATGCTTGGATAACCTTAAGAAGATTTTGAAAAGATGCATTGAGAAGAAGTTGGTGTTAAACTTTGAGAAGTGCCATTTCATAGCCAATCAAGACATCATCTTGGGACACATCGTCTCCAAAAAGGGAGTTGAATTTGATAAATCCAAAATCGATGTCATACAAACCCTTCCTTACCCAACATGTGTTAGAGAAGTGAGATCTTTCTTGGGCCATGCGAGATTCTATAGGAGATTTATTAAAGATTTCTCGAAGATCACGAGACCGATGTGCCTCCTTCTCCAAAAAGATGTTGACTTTTACTTCGATGTAGCATGTCAAGAAGCCTTTGACAAACTTAAAGACCTACTCACATCCGCCCCCATTATCCAACCTCCAAATTGGGAGCTTCCTTTTGAAATCATGTGCGATGCAAGCAATTTTGCCATTGGAGCGGTTTTAGGTCAAAAGGATGGCAAAGCATCACATGTTATCTACTATGCCTCCAAAACCTTGGATAATGCTCAAGCCAATTATTCTACCACCGAGAAGGAACTTCTATCCATTTTCTTCGCCTTGGAGAAATTCCGGCAATACCTTCTTGGGACAAAAGTGATTGTATACTCCGACCTTGCGACCTTGAAGTATCTAATGATCAAGAAAGATGCTAAGACACGGTTAATGCGGTGGATTCTTCTTTTACAGGAGTTCGATCTTGAGATAAAGGACAAAAGTGGTGCCGAAAACCTAGTTGCGGATCATTTAACTCGGTTGAATATTGGTGGTTCTTCTTCTACTTCCATTCTTGATGAATTTCTGGATGAACACCTCTTCTACATTTCAAACACCATTCCATGGTATGCGGATATTGTCAATTACTTGGTTACTAAAGAAATTCCACACGCATTTACCAAGTACCAAAAGGCCAAGTTGAAGAGTGATTCCATATATTACGTGTGGGACGACCCTTATATTTGGAAACATTGTCCGGATAAACTAATACGGAGGTGTGTTCACCAAAACGAGGTTGAATCAATCTTGAAGTTTTGCAATGAGTATGCATGCAGAGGACATTTTGGTCAAAACAAAACCATGCGAAAGGTGCTAAAATGTGGACTCTATTTGCCAACAATGTCAAGAGATACATATCTATTTTGCAAGAGTTGTGATAGATGTCAAAGAATGGGAACCGTATCCATGAAGCACGAAATGATTCAAAGCCCTATCCTTATTTGTGAGATCTTTGATGTATGAGGAATCGATTTCATGTGCCCATTCCCCGTCTCTTTCAGTTATACGTATAAACTCTTGACCGTTAACTACATCTCAAAGTGGGTGGAAGCAAAGGCTACAAGGCATGATGATTCTAAAACTGTAATTGACTTCTTGAAGTCAAATATTTTTGCAAGATATGGTGTACCGAGAGCCTTGGTGAGTGATAGGGGCACTCATTTTTTCAACAAAATGATGGAAGCCATGATGAAGCGATATGGTGTCACACACCGGATATCAACCGCTTACCATCCATAAACAAATAGCCAAGCCGAAGTGTCAAATAGAGAAGTCAAGCAAATTCTTGAAAAGACAGTCAACACTACACGAAAAGATTGGAGCTTGAAGTTAGAAGATGCATTGTGGGCGTATCGGACCGCCTACGAAACTCCAATTGGCATGTCTCCATTCCGCCTCGTTTATGGAAAGTCTTGTCATATACCAGTGGAATTGGAACACAAGGCATATTAGGTGGTTAAAAAGTGTAATTTCAATATTGAAGAAACCGGGAAGCACCGAAAGATGCAACTTCAAGAAATCGAAGAGTTGAGGAACGAGTCTTATGAAAATGCAAGCATCTACAAAAACAAGACAAAAGTGTTTCACGACAAGCACATCACTCGAAAGCATTTTATTTCGGGCTAAAAAGTTCTTCTTTATCATTCACGCTTAAATCTATTCCCGGGAAAAATTGCGATCTCGATGGCACGAACCTTTTATTGTTATAAAAGTGTTTGATCATGGTGCGGTTGAAATTAAGAGTTTGGAAACGAATCAAATATTCAAAGTGAATGGGCACCGTTTGAAACCATTTTATGAAGGGTTTGACACGGGAGAATTCGACAATGTAACATTGGAAACTCCGATTTACGAAGGTTGAAGGAAGAGGGGCTATGTCTTGGCAAAAACGTTAAATAAATGCATTGTAAATAAATAATCTCCGCTTGAAGTTTTGGTGTTTCTAGGCTTGAATTTTGTCAAAAATAAGCATCTTGAAGTTTAGCAATGATCTTGGTAAAGTATGCAAAAAGTGTACTCGTGCAAACGTTACGCGACCGACCCCCAGCCGCGCAAATCCGAGTCCAAATTACCCCCATATTGAGCACAAAATTTTGTATGCGCGCGGGTGCGGGAGGTTCTGCGCGACCTAAAACTCACCCTCGCAACCTCTTGCGCGACCTGACCCCTACCATGGTAAACTGTAACTCCCGTGTTTTGAGGCTAAGCATTGAAGCGATGATGTAATAGTCTAGGTCAACCATTGTGACCCATTTTAAAGTAATAAAGATGAATTACTTGAATATTATGTGAATTATGTGCTTTTGTGTGCTTATTACTTGTTTATAATAATATAATAAATAAAGGATAAAAATAAGCGTCAAAATTAAAGTGCGAGATAAACCCGATACCTTTACATAAAGTTGTAGTGGCCGAAACAACGATTCCGGATATATAAACAACGTCGAAATCCGAGCTATAACGAAGAAGTTATGGTCCGTCGAAGTTTCACGACAAAACCGGCACGACACTGTGTGACGTAAATAGTGAATTTACGATAAAGGACTTTTTAGCCCTAGCAATCTAAACGAAAGTTGAAGAGTACAATCCCACCTACGCGTGGATATAAAGAACGTCGAAAACGGAGCTCGTACGTGAAAGATATGAATTTTTGAAGTTGGGGTGGGAAATCACGAAGGCTATGCGAAGGGGTACGCCCAGCGTACCTTCGGACTCTCAGCGTTCGCACTACGCCCTGCGTACGAAGGAGGTATGCCCCGTGTATTGACTTTTTCCTCGGTCCACAATGAGCCACATCGCCCACCGAAGTCTCGCCACGTGTGTACGGCCGAGCTGTACGCCCCGCGCACAGCGAGGGCTACGCCCCGCGTTCGTCCGAGGCCTCGCCTATAAATGGAGGCCGAGGGCAGCCACTTCCCTCACTCCAAAATCTTCTCTCTCTCTCACTACTTTCTCTCTCTAGCCTCCCTAAATCCCCAAAAGCCTAGGAAACTTCCCTAGCACTTGAAGAAAGCCCCGGAGCGCTAGAAGGCTCCGAGAAAAAAGAGTTTTTCGGTTTGAAACTTTGCCCGTGCAGAGCCCGGTTTTCAAGCAAACTTCTTGGTTTCATCAAAGAAGATTATTTTAAAGAAGCGAAGTGCTGTCCGAATCACTCCGTATCAGGTGAGTGTATAGTCACTTTCATCTTACACATAGATATGAAGTATTTTATATAAATTATGTGCTATGTGTATATATATGCTATATGTTTACCTGAGATGTTTGCTGAATGAAAGATCTATACTTCTTTCTTTTAGATCTGAAGCTTTTTCCTTTAGATCTACACTTCCTCATCTCAGATCTAAACTTTTCTTCAGATCTAAACCGTATACTTTGAGATCTATGTTGGATGAAAGATCTGAACTTCTTTCCTTCAGATCTGAATTTTTTCTAGACAGTAAATGTATTTTATGCTTTGAAGGTTATGCTGGATAAAAGATGTAAGCTTTGTTTTACAGATCTGGACCATGTATGCATTTTATATCTACAAATATGTTGGGTAGAACATGGGTAGATAAAATAGTTGGTGTGTGGTGAAATAAAATGATGAGAGGCCTCAATGTTGACGTTGTTCCAGTCATCTAGCGGAGTATGGATGACGACCACAGACTCTTCTAGGAAGTCTAGTGGAACGCTAGCAGGCTCACAACCTGTAGGTGATTGTGAACGAAGTGTTCACCGGTGTACTCCATCCCCCCCCCCCCATGGTTGCCTTACGGACACATATGGCTGAGGAATCCCCTTAGCAGTAGTGTCCATCCCAATGAAATTCCTTAGGATAGGTCCCTTATGAGAGATGCTTAGGGACGTAAGGTGAGGATAACGGGAACAGGTAATCGGGTTTAATGATTATTGAAATAATAAACTTATTTATTGTGGGTTGAAAACCCTATATGCTCACCAGGCTCCCCGGCCTGACCCACTCAGTTTCTTGTATTACAGGTAGTGGCAAAAGCATAGTTGGATGACTTGACGAGAGATTATGGATTTGAGGCCAGATTGTGTTTTGTGGCCTAAGATGTTTATTTCTGTTTGGTTTATGCTTATGGTCTGTATCGATGATTGACATCCCGAGTTTTCGTAATGTAATGAAAACACATTTCTTTAAGAAATGCTTTGATAAATTTATATCAATGTTTTGTTTTGGGAACAAATTCCGCAATACTTTTCTTAAGAAGTTACTCTGATTTTTGTTAAAAAGCATAAACGAAATCGGTCTTTTCTGGCCGTAAAAATGGGGATGTCACATAAACCCTTGCATAACCAAGACCAAACTTCCATCCCCATTGCGCGACCACCACACCAGCCCTCTAATGCCCATACCCGAACCGTGCCCCACCCGATCACCCGAAACCGACCCGAACCTACATAAAAACCTACCTGGACCCGATCCACTTTTTGACCCACCTCTCTACCTCCTTGACTGCTTAGCTCTCACCCGGATGGAATTATTACTACCTACCAGCAATAACCATTACTCTTGGCTCAATCATGTCAATGAATCAGTTTACATCTTACCTAATACCAGCATATCCGCCTTTACCACCAGCGATCCCGAAACTTGGTTCTTGCCTGAAGAGTTACATGATGATGATGATGACATGCAGGTAGACACTGGCAATGCTGATAGCCCATTTGAGGTCGAAGACCATTATGACCTCCCAATCCGACAACTGCCACCACCCTTTTATGATCAACCTTCGGGAGCACACTTCGAGCCACAACATGAGTACCAGTCTTACCAACAACACAACGAGCCAGGACTCGAGTTTCCTCTTGATATATACAATCAACTTGCTGCCTTGCGCCTCCAGGGCAACCGGAATACAGCAGCCATTCGGCACATCGAGGAGCAGCAAGCTCGCGCCAACAACTACATGGAGGATCTTTGGCATCATTTTCAGCCTGAAGGCGGTTACCGTCCTCGCGGGCCTCCTCCACCTTGATCCCGGTACGATCCTTCCTTACTCTCATCCTAAGAAGTAAGGACAATACTTAATTTTAAGCTTGGGTAAGGTATTCTTTATCTTTTATTTTTTATTGCATTTAGGTTGTATATATTTGCATTCAGAGTAAGTCATTTAGGTCATTCATAAAAATTGCATAAAAATTTTAAAAAAATTGCATATTTTGTTTATTTCTTTTCTAATTTTCATACTTTTTAGATGCATTCTAGTTTAAGGTCATGCATTTTTGTTCTCTTTTGTCTTCTCATCCCTACAGGTACCATAGCGTCGAGTCATAAGTATTGAATCATAGATTGGTCCCGACTCTTGATATGGAATTCCTTGTATTGGATAAATGGGACACGTTTTGAGCCTCACAGACCACTTTGAGACCGCTTGTGTGGGGGTCAGATGCAGGTAGCTTGATTGGGTCTAGGTGCGGAGGGATGTGGTTGGTCAAACCGATGTGTGCGAGCAAAGATTAGCCCGGTAAGGTATTTTGAAGACATTGAAGACTCGTATCTTGGTTTTGGGGGAAGTACCCCTTTGTACTCCCGAGTCTCGTCCGAGCCTTGCTTAGTTAGATTTTCACCACCTTTTTAGGATAGGTCATCATTTTCTAGAGGTCTAGAATAGATAGTTGGATAGATTTTGTTTATCACACCTTGCATTGAAGTGCTTGATGAACTTTGAGGCGGGTCCCCTAATTCACATCTTTTGGGACCAAGTTTTTTTTTTTTTTTTTTTGGTAACACCCATTTTTGAGTCATTCCCCACCCTTTTTAGTAGATCTTGACACATTGTGAATGATCATTAGGTGTTCATGTTAGCCTCTATCTATTACTCCATTTTCATTATTGGAGTCCTATGTTACATGGTGAAATTCCTTAGACCTTCCAAGAAGAAAACACAAAAAATGAAGAAATTGGAAAAGTGAAGACAAAAAGAAACAATGAAGAAGATTAAAGAAAAGCAACAAAAACAAAGAATAAACATGAAGAAAAAGAGCAACACAAAAAGAAGAACAAGAATCCAAGTTCAAGACTTCTCTCCATAAAAAAAATAAAAAAAAAGATCGAGCTACAAAGAGGCTGAAAACCAAATAACAGACGTTCAAGATTGAAGATTTAAGTTGTTAGGTTTAGATTTATGTTAAGTAGAACTTTTATTATTTTATTTTATTTTTGATTTTCGGTGAGAAAAGGCAATGATGATGAGACGGTAGATTGTAAAGGACAGTACAAGGCAGAAGCCTCTGAAACCGGATGTTTGCCCGGAGGCCGTGCTGCAAAACCCTATTTCGTATTATACACTATAGCCTAACAAATATAGGAATCATCGTGTGTGAAGAGGCGCCTTTCCTTCATGCATTATGATCTGCATTGGTGATTTAAAGTGCCCCCACTGGGCGCATCCTCTGTTTCCTTTGTCTTGCACACCGCGACTACATCCAGCCGTGATCTATTCGCCCATCAAGTGGTTCGAGAATGTGGTTTATGGCTCTAAAGCGGGGAACATTTTGAAGATGCGTATGGTCCACGAAAGACTGATTCTGACCATGTTGACTGATGTTAACCAAGTTCTATGGTATCTTTCTTTTTCCTTTGTAGTTTAGCTCATCCCGAGCTCATTTTAGTCTTGTTCTAACTTGAGGACAAGTTAGGTTTAAGCTTGGGGTGATTTAATAGCTTATTTTATTTCCTTATTTTTATTAGTTTATTATAGTATTTTTATCTCTTTTTATTAATATTGTATTGTATATTCTTTATTTTCTTTATCATGGATCGTGTCGGGTACTTTCTATTTTGCATAAGATATTTTACAGGGTTTTGGAGCTCATTGCGGTTGCGGTTTGACTGGAGTTGGGCTTAGTGGGCTTCTCGATGCATTATTGGGCTTTACGGATCCATCAAAGGAGATTTGGGCTTAAAAAGTTGAAGATTTGGATGGAGTGGGCTTTTGAAGATGGGTCATGGATTCTTATTTTGGGCATGGACTATCCATATTTAAAGCTTGAAGGTGATTGGCCAATTTCAAATCATGTGAGTCATGGAGGGGACCAATGGAATCTTGGGTAGTGGAGAAGAATGTGTGACAACCCGAACCTTTTTCTAGTTTCCGTTAATTAATTTCCGTTAATAAAATTCTATTTTATTGGGTTCCGTCAACTTCCTTCGGTTTGGAAAATCATTTAATTATATATTTTGAGTTCTATATTCGAGTCGGAACCAAAACCACACGAAATTTCGGGAATTCCTTCGAACAAGACCGAGTTCACGACCTCACTTGGGTTCACGGCCGTACACCCGTTTACGGTTGGAGTCGGATGGACCCCACCCACCGACCACAAAAACCCCTATATATATGAGACCCTACCCCTCATTTACACTCTTCTGGCCGAACACCCACTCATTCTCTCTCTAGACTTGTGACCGTACACCCCTAAAAGCACCTTTATTCCTCCGGAAAACATTGAAAAACACCATTGGGGATCATTTCGGAGCATCTAGAGCTCGTATCTCGTCGAAATCAGCATCTTTGTTCTTGAGTGTACGACCGTACACCTTCAAGTTCATTGACCGCACACTAGTCTACGGCCGTACACCTTCAAAGGCCGTACACCACTCAAGAGCTGGTTTACGGCCGTATACCTGTATACGGTCGTACACCTGTCCACGACCGTACACCCTAGTTCACGGTCGTACACACCCTTCCTAAGTGGTGCTTTAGACTGAAAGTTCACTTTCCTCGATTCAAGCAAGTCCCGGTAACATTCCTTAACCGAACTCATGTGTTTTTCTACACTTTATCTAGCGAAATCACTAATTTAAATACATAAATGTATTTAATTGTTATTAGGATTCCGTTAAGTGCCACACGCTACAACTCGAGGGTCTTCTTTTCAGTTCATTGATTCGACGTCTGCACACTATTAACAGTGAGTTCATACCCCTACCATTTTATGATTTTAAATGTTTCCAGGGGGAATACAAGCCAAACACAAATGATTTTAACAAGTTTAAAATTTATGCAATTGATACAATCAAACGATTTCTACGTTTTATAAAATATTTAGATATTTTATCCCTTTTGTATTATGTTGAGCATAAGGGACACTTTTATCTTGGAAACCTAATTACATAATTTTCATAACAATACACAAACCAAGTACATAACATTTCAAGCAAACTATAAAGGGTATAGTTTGGGGAATTAAATACACAGCTTTTGCAAGTTTAGAGTTATACACTGCTAAACATATAAACTATGACAGATTTAGTTTATGATATACATTATCAGGAGTACAATATTTAATAATTATTTAAGTATAATTATTTCTTTAAGCAATATACAACGGATCCAAATACAAGAGAATACTACATAATTACATGTAAACTAGATTATATAGGATTGTGAGACTCTACTTCAAAACTGTACCCTTAGGTGTACTGAATTAAATCCTATCATAGTATGACCAGAGTCTCCTGGAAGGAGAGCGTGAGATTTGTGAATAGATCTATTCGGGACTGACAATCCCACACCTGAACTGCTAGCTACAGTTAGGCAGGCATGCCTGAGGTGACAAATGTCATTTAACCGACACTTGAAGAACATCGTAAAGGTCACTAGGTCATATCAAACATGGTTATACGACTCACAATAGTATAAACTAATCATTTGTTTACAGGATTTCATTCTTCATTAGTTTTCTTTTAAGTAATGAAACTACTTTTATTAGCCAGAGTTTTCATGTAGAATATACTATACAAAGGTTTTTGTATAAGAATACACACACACTACGGTTGATAGTAAATAGACATGCAAACCAACGTTTTTCTATACTACAACAAAATACAGTAATAAATATTCATTCTTAATTCTATAACTCCTTAGTTTAGGCAACAGGGTTACGTATGGAGCATTTTCGATAGACTGTGGAATGTGTGGTTTCCGCCTCATTCCCTGTTCCTTGTTTGGTTGTGGGTTTAGGGCAGATTCACATAGTCAACTGTCTGTTCGATATTGGTTTATACGTGGCTAGCATGAACTAAGTGGTTATAGATAGAACTGATATTATCTTACCCTTACTAAAGAAAATATTGGATTTTCTTGGAATCACGCAAACATTTTTACAGAGTCATCGACAGGTTTTCAATACAAAAACATCGCTTATGAACTCACTAGCTTTATGCTGATACTCTTTCAAAACTGCTTGTATTCTCAGGAAATTAGTAGACAGGTACTTCCTGGAGTTTTGAGAAGACGGAGCGTATAGAGTCACGTCTTTTTCTTTTGATTATACTTTTGATGTATGAAAACAAGAATTAAATAGATGTAAACTCTTTTCATATATGTATTCAATGTAATGGTTGTGTTTACTATGATTGCTATGATACAATTGTTATGATACTACACATGACGTCATCCACCCCCAAGCGTTTCCGCCGTTCCGGTTTGGGGGTGTGACAGATTGGTATCAGAGCTATTATTTATAGTTTACTAAGTATACCGAACCTTACATGGTATACAACTATAAACACTAAGGGGCCGAAGTACTCTGAACTAAAAGTATACTTTTAAAATATAAGTATTTTATAAAGAGTATACAAGTATCCATAAGTACCAGAAAACAGTATCATAAGTAGAACAAAACAAAAGTATTTGGATGTTGGACACTGTGGTTAAACTTGGATAGTTATGTAATCATGTCTGGGATCAATATAGCATGATCAACCATATTTATTTGAGACATGACCAACATGTGTCTGGGAGTGATCGTGGTGTTGCAGCAAGCCTAAAACTTACCAAGCTATATACATCAAGATATCGATAGAACAGAGCATACAACTTAAAATACTATAGGAGTATTTTAGCTAGAGTCGAATACAGTATACATATTCATTCCAAGTGTTGTTACATATTTCTTCTTAAGCGATAGTTTACTTGCATTAGTAACCATTCTTTGTTTATCGCTTAGTAGAACACTTTATCTATCAGGA